ATATTTTATTACAAAATTCTTACATATTGTACCTTTAAGTATTTGATCGGTGGCACAAAAGCAGATTCATGCTTGAGGAAAAGGCCTCTTGCTGTGAACAGGACTGTTCTGAGATCAGCAGATCAGCCGCACACTGCCAGTCTGCTTCTTATTCTGTTGCTGTTGTTGTGTTGTTGTTGTTTTTGTTTGCCCACTTGGAAACATTTCACTCAATAAACCTGAAAACAATCGTTGGAAGCTTCGATGCAGGCTTTCAGAGCGTCTCACAAGCAGTCAATAACACTCCTGATGAATTATGACAATCTTACTTTATGGTGTTTGTACTCTAATATGTTTTAGATGGTTGTATGAGTGCATATTTGAATGAGCAGTAAAGGCATTTCAAAATAAGAGTCTCTGTGTATACTTAAAAGTCCCACATTATATAGAACATATTATTTTTTGTTTATTATTGGCATTTTGGTTACAAAAAAAACTGTTCCTGGCTTTTAATTCAATGTTTATAATATACATAAATAAATCCATAATTATTTAATATATAATAAAAATAAAGTTTGAAGAAGAAATGTTGTTTTAAAGCTATAGTGTACTTCTTGTACTCAAATACATCACTGTGCTTGTCTCCTCGTATCCCTTTATTAAGGAAATCACAATATTTAATGTTCATTGTGCTCCTAAAGGTCTTTATGTGCTCTTAAAGTTTTGTCTATTTTTGGCCTCTTTTTAATTTATTACGTTTTTTTACTTGGAAACCCTATATCTATCTAACATCTCTATGCATGTTTATTTTGGCTTCTTTTCATTTTATACAATTTATTTTGATTGTTTTCTTTTATTTCAGTTATTTTTTCAACCATTGCTTTTAGTTTTATGTAGTTTTTTTACAACTTTTTTTTTTATTTTGCACTGTAAAAACTCTCACAAACAGCGATACATGTACAAAAAAAACACATTTGTTAAAAGCAGCTCGTAACACTGTCACACAAGCACATTGTACAGTATAAGTCTCTTCAAACAAGCGGTATCAGAACTCAACTGCGCAGTTTTAAAAGCTTTAGGCTGGGTTGAATAAACAGTAAAGTGTCCAAACCTCCGCGGTAACAGCTCTGTTTTCTGCGCGCTCGCGCTCAACGGCAGAATGCTTTTAATGTGCATTATCACTTTACATAATTCTCATTGTAATGGCAAGGGTACAAAGGTCGCCGTAAGTGATCTAATGCGGTTTGGTCGTGCATGAATCATTGAGCTGACCTTTGACCTCCAGAGTGCTCAAATAAGACCTGTATAAACATCTACAGCGATCGCTGGGAACATCCAGTGCGTTTTACTCAACAGAATCAAGCGTAAAGCTTTCTGATCTGTTAAATGTGAAGAGCATCTTCCATGCATATCAGTGGATATAGAACAAATGACTATTAAAAAAACAACAACCGTTAAACGTTGTCCAAAGATAAAAAGCAGAACTTTTTCCTCAATAGAGCTGCCCCTTTAAAAGCATGTGTTTCTGTCATGGAATAAATAAAAAGAGGTAATAGCTACTTTTTATCTCACAATTCTGACTTTTTCTTAGAATTGTGATTAAAAACTCACATTTGAGAGTTATAACGTCAGAATTGTGAGATATAAACTCGCATTTGAGAGTTGTGATTAAAAACTTGCATTTGAGAGTTATAATGTCAGAATTGTGATTAAAAACTCGCATTTGAGAGTTATAACGTCAGAATTGTGAGATATAAACTTGCATTTGAGAGTTATAACGTTAGAATTGTGATTAAAAACTCGCATTTGAGAGTTATAACGTCAGAATTGTGATTAAAAACTCACATTTGAGAGTTATAACGTCAGAATTGTGATTAAAAACTCACATTTGAGAGTTATGACGTTAGAATTGTGATTAAAAACTTGCATTTGAGAGTTATAACGTCAGAATTGTGAGATAAAACTTACATTTGAGAGTTATAACGTCAGAATTGTGAGATATAAACTCGCATTTGAGAGTTGTGATTAAAAACTTGCATTTGAGAGTTATAATGTCAGAATTGTGATTAAAAACTCGCATTTGAGAGTTATAACGTCAGAATTGTGATTAAAAACTTGCATTTGAGAGTTATAACGTCAGAATTGTGATTAAAAACTCGCATTTGAGAGTTATAACGTCAGAATTGTGAGATATGAACTCGCATTTGAGAGTTATGACGTTAGAATTGTGATTAAAAACTTGCATTTGAGAGTTATAACGTCAGAATTGTGAGATAAAACTTACATTTGAGAGTTATAACGTCAGAATTGTGATTAAAAACTCGCATTTGAGAGTTATGACGTCAGAATTGTGATTAAAAACTCGCATTTGAGAGTTATAACGTCAGAATTGTGAGATAAAAACTCACATTTGAGAGTTATAACACCAGAATTGTGATTAAAAACTCACATTTGAGAGTTATAACGTCAGAATTGTGATTAAAAACTCACATTTGAGAGTTATAACACCAGAATTGTGATTAAAAACTCACATTTGAGAGTTATGTCAGATTTGTGATTAAAAACTCGCATTTGAGAGCTATGACGTCAGAATTGTGGTAAAAACTCACATTTGAGAGTTATAACGTCAGAATTGTGAGATAAAACTTACATTTGAGAGTTATAACGTCAGAATTGTGATTAAAAACTCGCATTTGAGAGTTATAACGTCAGAATTGTGATAAAAACTCACATTTGAGAGTTATGTCAGATTTGTGATTAAAAACTCACATTTGAGAGTTATAACGTCAGAATTGTGGTAAAAACTCACATTTGAGAGTTATAACGTCAGAATTGTGAGATAAAACTTACATTTGAGAGTTATAACGTCAGAATTGTGATTAAAAACTAGCATTTGAGTTATAACGTCAGAATTGTGATTAAAAACTCGCATTTGAGAGTTATAACGTCAGAATTGTGATAAAAACTCACATTTGAGAGTTATAACGTCAGAATTGTGATTAAAAACTCACATTTGAGAGTTATAACGTCAGAATTGTGATTAAAAACTCACATTTGAGAGTTATAACGTCAGAATTGTGATTAAAAACTCACATTTGAGAGTTATAACGTCAGAATTGTGATTAAAAACTCACATTTGAGAGTTATAACGTTAGAATTGTGATTAAAAACTCACATTTGAGAGTTATAACGTTAGAATTGTGATTAAAAACTCACATTTGAGAGTTATAACGTCAGAATTGTGATTAAAAACTCACATTTGAGAGTTATAACGTCAGAATTGTGAGAAAAAACGTACATTTGAGAGTTATGACGTCAGAATTGTGATTAAAAACTCGCATTTGAGAGTTATAACGTCAGAATTGTGATTAAAAACTCACATTTGAGAGTTATAACGTCAGAATTGTGATTAAAAACTCACATTTGAGAGTTATAACGTTAGAATTGTGATTAAAAACTCACATTTGAGAGTTATAACGTCAGAATTGTGAGATAAAACTTACATTTGAGAGTTATAACGTCAGAATTGTGAGATAAAACTTACATTTGAGAGTTATAACGTCAGAATTGTGATTAAAAACTCACATTTGAGAGTTATAACACCAGAATTGTGATTAAAAACTCACATTTGAGAGTTATAACGTCAGAATTGTGATTAAAAACTCACATTTGAAAACTTCCATCTCACAATTTCAGAATTGTGAGATGGAAACAAGCTTCCAAAAAAAGTGTATCTTGTGATCGACCAATTTTGATACATTCTTGCTTCCTCCGGGAATCCACAAAAAGATCTTAAACCAAGGCACATTGTTACAGTGTATTATTGTTTTTAATGATAATAACACGGAAACTTTATACTGTCACTCATGCTTTTCATTTTCCACTATATTTCTGACCTTGACTATTAAACAAGCTGTTTTTGCCACTTTCCTTCCTTCGATATGTGATGATTCTGATTGAAGATTTTTGACCTGGTGCCGTTCGGCTCAAACAGTCATTGATGTGTTTAGATGCGTGAGCGCTCGTATGCTAATGAGTGCGTGACATCATCGAACGCTTTACCGCCTGCCTCTCTGTGTTCTCCTGAAGAAACGGCAGATTGTGTGAGGGCACAGCCAATACACAGAAAGTGGAACAAATTCACTGCGCCTCATTGGTGTTTGCCATTCCTCCTGGGTTTACACACTATATCTGCTATTGATCGTGTTAGCGTGGCTCGTTGTGACCAATCATCTGTGCAATGCATCTTACACCGGCCACCCAGCCTGCTCCTCTACACCTGCCTAATGCATGCATGCTTTACACTTAAACACGATTAGCTGCGTTCATACCTATTCATGTGCTGTTCTCCTACAGCTCAAACACACACACACCGTTATCTGTTTGATCTAGTTGTCTTTCTATAAGATAATTATGAGTTCTTACTAGGACCGATGCTCAACTAGTCGTCCGACAACTGCATGTCAACACAACATAAAGTCATATATATAGTCATAATTTGATTCTGTGTGATTGATTTCAGCTGATATTGAGATTAATTTCTACTTTACTGTGTGATTTACTTGTAACGAATGCAAAAAAGGACATGGTGATTATTACCTATCAATTTTAATTGCCATACTTTCAAAGCAAAACAAGACAACAAAAACAAAACAAAGCAAAAATAAAAAAATAACAACAAAACAAAAAATTACATAAAAAAAAAAAAAAAAAATTACGACAACAAAATAAACCAGAATAAAACAAGAAAACAAAACCATGAATAAAGCAACAAAAAAAATAAAATAAAATAAAACAACAGAAAAAGTTATTTGTATTGATCTATGTGGTCGTGTGTCGGGGAAGAGTTCTGCATCTGCGCTACACACTGAGAACGCTCGTCATGCTTGTGTTCAACATGCGTCCGCATTAGCGGCCCTTGATTCCGGATGACTGGTGAGAAAGTGTTATAATGTGTCAGATCCAGAGGCGTGTGATCCTGTATGTCCGTTTCCCAGTGTCACACAGCGCTTCTCTCTCTC